CCTGCAGCCCCTCCCCCCGGCCAAGCCCCGCCCCCCGGACCTTCTCGAAGCCCTCCTTGCTGAGGGCGTCGTTCCAGCTCTTCATGAACTCTCCGGGGAACTTGTCCTTGGAGAAGACGCCGAGGCGCCGCCCGCCCCGGCTGCCCCTCAGCGCCTCGATCAGCTTCTCAAAGTTGGCCTTGTTGCTCTCGTTCTGCCGGGGGGCGGGGCCAAGGTGGGGGCGGGGCCAAGGAGGGCGGGGCAGGGTGGACACGCCCAGCCCCAGGTTCTCAACCCAACCCCAACGTTCTCAGGGTTGTCCAAAGTTCCCTCAGGGCACCAAAATGATCAAAAGTGACCCCAAAATGACCCAAGTGACACCTAAATGACCCAAAATGACCCAAAAAGAGCCCAAAGTGACCAAAAGTGACCCAAGTGACCCCAAAATGACCCAAAAAAGAGCCAAAAGTGACCCCCGGAACACCAAAGTGACCCCCAGGATCCCATAAAAACCCAAAACGACCCAAAGTGACTCCAAAATGACCCAAACCTCCCAAAATGACCCCAAAATCACCCAAAATGACCGAAAATGACCCAAAGTGACCCCGAAATGACCCAAGAGACCCCCAAGACCCCATAATGACCCGAAGTGACACCCAGGACCCCATAAAAAACCCCAAAACACCAAAGTGACCCCCAGGACCAGAGAGTGACCCCCAGGACCCCATAAGGACCCAAAAATGACCCCAAAATGACCAAAAAAGACCAAAAATGACCCCAAAATGACAAAAAGTGACCCCAAAATGACCCAAAATCCCACCTTCTCCCGGACCAGCAGGGCGATGGCCAGCAGCCCGTTGGTGGCCCCCAGGACCCCAAAATGGCCCCAAAAAGACCAAAAAAGACCCCCAAAGGACCCCGCAATGACCCAAAGTGACCCCAAAATGACCCAAAATCCCACCTTCTCCCGGACCAGCAGGGTGATGGCCAGCAGCCCGTTGGTGGCCCCCAGGACCCCAAAAAGGCCCCAAAAAGACCAAAAAAGACCCCCAAAGGACCCCGCAATGACCCAAAGTGACCCCAAAATGACCCAAAATCCCACCTTCTCCCGGACCAGCAGGGTGATGGCCAGCAGCCCGTTGGTGGCCCCCAGGACCCCAAAACAGCCCCAAAATGGCCCCAAAATGACCAAAAAAGACCAAAAATGACCTGAAAATGACCCCAAGTGACCCAAAATGACCCCGATGGCCAGCAGCCCGTTGGTGGCCCCCAGGACCCCAAAATGGCCCCAAAAAGACCAAAAATGACCCTCAAAGGACCCCGAAATGACCCAAAGTGACCCCAAAATGACCCAAAATCCCACCTTCTCCCGGACCAGCAGGGCGATGGCCAGCAGCCCGTTGGTGGCCCCCAGGACCCCAAAATGGCCCCAAAAAGACCAAAAATGACCCTCAAAGGACCCCGAAATGACCCAAAGTGACCCCAAAATGACCCAAAATCCCACCTTCTCCCGGACCAGCAGGGCGATGGCCAGCAGCCCGTTGGTGGCCCCCAGGACCCCAAAATGGCCCCAAAAAGACCAAAAATGACCCTCAAAGGACCCCGAAATGACCCAAAGTGACCCCAAAATGACCCAAAATCCCACCTTCTCCCGGACCAGCAGGGCGATGGCCAGCAGCCCGTTGGTGGCCCCCAGGACCCCAAAATGGCCCCAAAAAGACCAAAAATGACCCTCAAAGGACCCCGAAATGACCCAAAGTGACCCCAAAATGACCCAAAATCCCACCTTCTCCCGGACCAGCAGGGCGATGGCCAGCAGCCCGTTGGTGGCCCCCAGGACCCCAAAATGGCCCCAAAAAGACCAAAAATGACCCTCAAAGGACCCCGAAATGACCCAAAGTGACCCCAAAATGACCCAAAATCCCACCTTCTCCCGGACCAGCAGGGTGATGGCCAGCAGTCCGTTGGTGGCCCCCAGGACCCCAAAATGGCCCCAAAAAGACCAAAAATGACCCTCAAAGGACCCCGAAATGACCCAAAGTGACCCCAAAATGACCCAAAATCCCACCTTCTCCCGGACCAGCAGGGTGATGGCCAGCAGTCCGTTGGTGGCCCCCAGGACCCCAAAATGGCCCCAAAAAGACCAAAAATGACCCTCAAAGGACCCCGAAATGACCCAAAGTGACCCCAAAATGACCCAAAATCCCACCTTCTCCCGGACCAGCAGGGTGATGGCCAGCAGCCCGTTGGTGGCCCCCAGGACCCCAAAACAGCCCCAAAATGACCAAAAAAGACCAAAAATGACCTGAAAATGACCCCAAGTGACCCAAAATGACCCAAAGTGACCCCAAAATGACCCAAAATCCCACCTTCTCCCGGACCAGCAGGGTGATGGCCGGCAGCCCGTTGGTGGCCCCCTCGTTGCCCTTGCCCTGGGCCACCTGCTTGAGGAACTCGACCTTCTTGCGGCTGGCCAGGAAGAGAGCGCGCTCCTCGCAGAACAGCATCACCGTGTCGGTCAGCTCGTAGCCGAAGAGCCACGTCTGGGGACGGGGACATCGGGGTCACCCCAAAATCTGACACCCCAAAACACAGGAATACCGAAAACCCCACAGAAATAGCCCAAAAAATGGGCCAGGAGCACCAAAAAATGAGACAGGAACCCCAAAAATGGACACAGGAATCAAAAAAACGGATGGGAACCCCAAAAACTGACAGGGAAACCCCAAACATGGGCACAGACACAGGAACCCCAAAAATGGACAGAAGAACCTCAAAAACCAACCCAAGAACCCCAAAAACCAATAGGGAAACCCAAAAATGGACAAAGGAACCCCAAAAATGGACAGAAGAACCTCAAAAACCAACCCAAGAACCCCAAAAACCAATACGGAAACCCAAAAATGGGCAGAAGAACCCCAAAAATGGACAGTCTCAGGGATTTTGGGGTTTTTTTTCAGGACTTTGGGATTTTCCCCTGAGGGATTTTGGGATTTTTGGATTTTCCCCTCAGGTATTATCAGGGTTTTTTTTAAGATTTTGTTATTTCCCCTCAGGGATTTTGAGTTTTTTTCAGCATTTTGGGATTTCCCCCTCAGGAATTTTGGGATTTTTGGGGATTTTGTTATTTCCCCTCAGGGATTTTGGGGTTTTTTTGGGTTTTCCCCTCACCTGCAGCGCCGTGGATTTGGCGTAGACGATCTCCTCGTCCACCCCCACAGCCACCACGATGGCATCGACGCCCCCGAACTCATCCTCCCCTTTCTGGGGGAGAAAACAGGGGTGAGACTCCCAAAATAACCCAATTCACCCCAAATTCCCCCCAAAATTCACCCTAAATTCACTCTAAAAACCCTCAAATTTACCTCGAACCCCCCAAATTTACCTCAAATCTCCCAAAACTTACTTCAATTCCCCCAAATTCACTTCAGACCCCACAAGTTTACCTCAAATCTCCCAAATTTAACTCAAATGCCCCTAAATTTACCTTAAATACCCCAAATTTACCTCAAACCACCCCAAGTTTACCTCAAATCTCCCAAAATTTACCTCAAAGCCCCCAAATTTACCTCAGCATCCCCAAAATTACATCAGCCCTCCCAAATTCACCTCAGATTCCCCAAAATTGCCTCAAATCCCCCAAATTTACCTCAAATCTCCCAAATTTCCCACAGCCTCCCCCCCCAGTTTAGTTCAGCCCTCCCAAATTCACCTCAACCACCCCAAGTTTACCTCAAACCCCCCAAGTTTACCTCAAACCCCCATATTTACCTCAGCATCCCCAAAATTACCTCAGGCCTCACCAAATCCTCCTCAAACCTGCCAAATTTCCCTCAAACCCCCCAAATTCACCTCAGCCGTCGCAAATTTCCCTCAAACCTCCCAACTTTACCTCAGCCCCCCCCAAATTCACCTCAACTCCCCCAAATTCACCTCAGCCC